ACGCTCAGATAAAAAAAACACACATTGCATGAACCTATACGCTCAGATAAAAAAACACACATAGCATGAACTTGCGCGCTCTGATAAAAAAAACACACATTGCAGGAACGCCTGAGATAGCTACATGAACATTCCATGAACCTAGGAGAGCTTAGATAAATCACACATCGCATGAACGCCTGTGGTAGGTACATGAACATTGCATGAACCTAGGAGAGCTTAGATAAATCACACATTGCATGAACCTAGGAGAGCTTAGATAAATCACACATTGCATGAACATACGAAAGCCAAGATAAATCACACATTTCATGAACCTATGCGCTCAGATAAAACACACATTGCATGAACCTACGCGCTCAGATAAATCACACATCGCATGAACGCCTGTGGTAGGTACATGAACATTGCATGAACATTGTTTGCTTGAGGAAAGAGAATCCATCAACAGGATAACCATCATTCAGAAAAGAATGAGCGAAGCAGAGAAACAGACACAACGGAGGGAAAGAAAAACAAGTAGGATTGAGACCTACCAGTGGCACCCTCCAGCCACCCACTCGCATGAACATGCTACAAAAGTGCAACTCCACTCAATACATTGCACAAGGGGGATATGTCCTAGTTCATTCTCAAAGTTATCGCTAAGCAATTTAAAAAATAGACGGATTTCTAATCTGAGCAAGGAACAAAGTCAAAAACTTCATTTGTATATATAATAAAAATAACATTTCAACAACTTGCCTCCCCCCACCCCAGCACATACACACACTCATTCCCTCACACCCACACATATAACACACACCCACACATATAACACACACCGAGCTGTATCCACTATGATCAAGACAAGACAGAATCGGGCAAAGCTACCCTGCATGGCAAAGAGGCTTGCCATTTCTTCCGAGACGTATAGAAAGAAGATTAAAACTTGAGGGCCTACAAGCCACTGTATTGCGTTGAACATCTGTACTACAACAACAACATTATCATCATCATCATCACCAACATCCGCTACTTCAGATTCAACTGTTTCCTGCGACACAATCTTGCGGTGAACAGCTCAGACCTTTCCTTCCCGTTCATCTCGAGTTTGAGAACACGTCAAATCTAACAAGACTAAAAAGGCGTTTCACACAGCTGCACCTACAACAACAACACTGCAGCAATTTTTACAATACAGTGTATACATGCAGGCTTTACGGTTTAACAGGAGAGACAAAAAACTGGAGGTTGGTACCAAAAAAACCAACATTTACTTTAAAGATGATAAATAAACAAGGAAGTTATTATCGAGATTGTATTCTTAAAAAAAAATGACATAGGATGTTTGCATAGAGGGGTTTTGTTTTTTGTTTGGGGGG